AAAAAAAAAAAAAAAACAAGAACCTAGGGCATTACAGGTGAGGTGTTACTAAGGTTTAGGGATCAGATCAGTTTTAAGTGTGGGAAGTTCTAGATGGTTGGGATTTGTTATCTTTCAATACCGCCAGTTTAAGCATCCTAACAGTATAGGATATAACCTTTTGTTTTTTAACTTTTTTTTTATAGCTTTATTGAGAAATAATTGACAGATTTGTAAGATGTTTGTAAGTGTATGTCTTACTGATTTGATTTATGTATACATTGTAAAAGGAGTCCCACCGTCTAGGTAACTAACACATTCATCACCTCACATATTTACTTTTTTTGGTGGGAACATATAAGTTCTATTCTCTCTATGGTGTTATCACCTATAGTCACATATTACACATTAGCTCCTCAGACCTTATTCATCTCGTGAGTGAAAGTTTCTACCTCTCCCTATTCCCCCACCTCCAGGCAACCACTTTCCTACTCTATAGTTTGACTTTTAAAAAAATATTTCACGTATTTTGCACATCTGATAAGGGGCTTATATTTGCACATCTGGCAAGTGGTTAATATCCAAAATATATAAAGAAGCCTACAACTCAATAGCAAAAAAAAAAAAAAAAAAAAAAAAACCCAACAAAAAAAAAAAAAAAAAGAAAAAGCCAATCTGATTAAAAAATGGGCAGAGGATCCGGACGTTTTTCCGAAGAAGACATACGAATGCCAACACGCACATGAAAAGGTGCCGAACATCACTAATCATCAGGGAAATGCAAAACAAAACCACAGTGAAATCCCCTCACACCTGTCAGAATGGCTCTCTTGTTATTTGAATGGCTCACAACAAATAACAAGTGTTGGAAAAGGTGTGGAGGAAAGGGAACCCTCCTGCGCTGTTGGTGGGAACGTAAATTGGTGCAGCCACTGTGCAGAACAGCAGGGAGGTCCTCAAAAAGTTAAAAATAGAGCTACCATATGACCCAGCAGTCCCACTTCTGGGTATTTAGCCAAAGAAAATGAAAACAGGATCTCAAAGTTATCTGCACCCCGTGTTCACTTGCAGCATTATTTACAGTTGCCAAGATATGGGAACAACCTTTATTCACAATAGCCAAGATATGGAAACAACCTAAGTGTGCATCCACGGACGAGGGGTTAAAGGAGTTGTACGTGTGGGTGCCCAGGCTCGCATTGTTACCCAGGAACACGGGAACGTTACTCAGCCGTGAGAAGGAGGACAGTCCTGTCATCTGCAACACGTGGGTGGACCTTGATCTCAGTATATGCCAGACAGGAAGACAAAGTTTTTTTCTTTTTTTAAAACTAAACCCATTGAGTAGTACTTGCTGTCAGACCTGTGGGGACTGCGTGGCCTTAGCCATCTCACCGTGGCATACAACTTCTGTATTTTTGAGTTTCGTGTCTGCATTTGGTGCCTCTTTGCTTTATTTGCTGTCATTGGCTCAGAGCCTTTTTTGTCCTGTCACACTTAACTCCAGCTACTCTTCTCACCTTGTGCTTTGATGATGGGTAGGAACCACCCAACAAGAGTGAAGCTGCAGGGCCCGAGCGAGGGAGAGAAGCTCAGTTTGGCTCCCTAGAGGCCCTTTTTGCTGCTATTTTGTCAGTTGTGTCTTCAGTGTCTTGAGTGTGGACCTGCCCCTTGTTAGGTGAGAATTTCATGGAGTTGAATAATTTGTAAAGACTGTTAATAGCAGGGGTTTAGTTGGTATCCGGTGATTCTGTGGTACCTTTGATTCTGTTAGGACTATAACCTCAGGACTCCGCGGAGCCACGTTGACAGAAAAGCAGCAGGTGGGCCCCGTGCACTTCTTCGCACTGACGAGGTCCCACGGTGCACCAGGCTGTCCTTTTCCGCTTAGACGGCCCCCTGGGCAGACACCTCCCGCCGCTGACGGTAGCACTGTGGCTCGTGACCCTTGCCTAAGAGAGTGAGCGCAAGACTCCCGGGTGCCTCCCTGGGGCTCAGCTAAGTCTCCACTCAGCCATGTATTCCCCCAGAGTTCCAATGTGGACGCATGAAGTACAAATAAATAAAATGATAAAAACTTCCAAAGGTGACAGGATTTTATTACTAAGTAAAGTATCAAACCAGCATGAAGAACCTAAACCAAAATAAACTTCAAAAAATGCAGTTCTCCAACTCCCTCTCAAAGACTCTGGTGACAATGACCAGCGTGCCTATGGAGCACACACTCAGAGGCACACCTGCTCACACACATCCCCCAAGAAGATTGAGGCTACAGTTATTCTTCACTCTTGAAGCCAGTGAGGAAAGATTAAGGCTGACTTGGTCTCCGAGTTACTAAGACTCAGGTGATGCCAGCTTGGTATCCACAGCTCCCTTAGTCTCACCTCACCTTGTCTGTTACTCCCATGTTAAACCTTTTCTTCCCCTAATTAAGGAAAACTCTGTGGTGAGAGAGGTTAAGTGTAACAGGAGGGAACATGGGATCTCCTGGCCGAGGTGCCAGCCTCCGTGTCCAGATGCAGGGTTTCCAGGGGAGATCGTGGAGAGCTGTGTTTCGGACTTGTGTCCCTTGCTCTCTGGGGGAGAATGGGGACAAAGGAGCCAGTAGAGAAGAGGAGGGTGGGCGAGAGCTGCTGGAGAGTGTGACGGGCTTCCCGGCCACCCGGTCAGGGCCCCCGAGCCCAGGTGAGCACCTCCCTCTCCCTGGAGAGAGTGGGCTCCAGGCCTCTGCCAGTTGTGCCCAAGGGGACTGGTCACCCGCAAGGTGAGGGGCTCCAGCGGGCAGTGCTCGTGGGTGGAGGTGGGATGTTGCCCTTGGACAAGGCTGCCTAACTTCTTAAATGAGGCTGTGTCTATGATAATGTGGCATTGGGACTCTCAGGGAAGTCATCAGACCTGCACACCTTTTCTTCCGGGCTGGTGATAATTTCTCCCACTGAATAAATTTTAGAGACAAAATAATTGTGTGTCCCATATGGGGGTGGGGAACAATTTCAGTCAGAGGGGAACGAGGTAAAAACGACCAGGATGTTTGCCGGAAACTGATCCCTTTGAAGTTGCTGGAGCTTCAGCTTCGAGGATTAGGGTAGCAGAAATGAGTCCTGAGAGAGAAGCAGGTTTGGGAAGTGGAGGGACTTGACCGCAGAGCTTGGACTTCATTCTGCAGGCAGAGGGTGGGCACTGTAAGGGCTGCTCGCTCACAAGCCCTCAGTGGGCCGGGTCCTGCCCAGTTCCGTTTGCTCTCAGACACAAACTTGCTCACCTCCAGCGTGGAGCCTGACACCTCTGGTAGGTACTTAATTCGTGTTTGAATGAATAGATAAACGAACTGATCGGGAAGTTGACCTTAAAAATGTGGGCAAGAAAGTGAGCTACAGATAAGGGAGTGTCAGGTAGTGTAAGCTTTTCTTGAAATTGATCTAGACATGGGCATAGAAACATGGGTACTGTATAGATCGGATTTTATCAGTAGGGGTCATCAGGCATCAGTGTGTCTTAAAACAACTTTCATATGGGTCTTTAACAAAAACCACTGTAACAAGTTGATTTACTGTTTTTAATTTCAGTGTACCCAAATTTTGATTTTTATCTACTGAGTAGGAAATGATTTCATGTTTGCATAGATTTCGTGAAGTATCAGCTCAGCCTCTTTAAGTCTTATGTTCTCTTTTTGATGTAATTTCTGTATTTTAACTAATTTCCTATCTTACATATACAGTCAAAGTTTATGTGTTAAGTTAGCTGAGGTGTAGGAAGTATATTGTTTTACACACGCAAACGTAGGCTCCATGATGTATCGTTGTAATGGTTTGTATTCACGTTTATTACTGTTGGTTACATCTTTGTAGTAATAGCACTCAAAATATATCTTAAACCTTTTCCTCCCTCAGAGGTAAATTTCCCCAGAAGGACTTAGAAATGCTGTTCCCTGGAATGAGTGCTGATTTTACAAGTGAGAACTTTTCGGCTGCCTGGTACCTCATAGAGAACCACTCCAACACCAGGTTAGTGGGTGCTGGGCTGTGTTGTGTGGTTTCACGGGGTGCAGCTCATAAGACTTCAGGTAACACGGGTTTCCCTCTGGCTTTGCTGCTTAGCAGCCCTTTGACCTTGGGTGAGCTTGTGAACATCTCAGAGTATCTGTTTCCTTACTTATAAAATGGGATCATTAATCAAGAGGACCCCTATTTCCTACCATCATGTTCTTTCTATATGTTTCGTTATTTATGCCACCCATTAAAACTTTGGAGTCTCAGCTGTGTCCTGTGTCTGAATGTGATCCCCCTTCCTACCCAAGTAACAGAATTCTCGAGTGCTGCTTTAAAACGAGGAACACACCTCCTTCCCTGACCAGAGAGCAAAGGAAGATGAGTTATTTATCATTTTGTAAAGACCTGGCTTAAAATTAGCCAAAAAATAAACAAGGGTCATATATCCAATTTAAGTGCTCCTTTGTATCTGCTACGTATAGTTTACCCACCCTCTGTACAAGAGTGGATCTGTAACTTTTTCACAAGACTGGCTTAAAACAGTTATATTTAGTAACAATGTTTTAATAAATCAGTGGCTTATTGTTTAAAATTTGTATTCTTGAAAACCAACTTGTTAAAATATACCTTAGGCGAAATCCTTCCCTCACCTATTGGGATGAAAACCATTATAGAAAACAGGAAAAGTTGGTATATACCTAGAGTAAATTTGGCCTGATAAATTTTTAGAGCAAATGCCTGTCACTTTCTTTGTGGAAGATGGTTCTGAGTTCACATCATAGATGTGCTTTTCTGTCACCATGTCAGGATTGATCTCTGTTCTCTGTGTAGGGCCATCTTGGCATTCAAGAATATAGTTAACGTTTTATATAGCCAGATTTTCTTAGCTCAGGTGGAAATAAAACTTCTAAAATACAGAGATCTGACTATTTTTTCTCTGCCCGAGATATAAAGATGAAATAGTGTGATCAGTTTAGTTATTTAAATTTTGAGTTGACCCCCAGGTTTTCTGTAATTTCACTGTGAATGGCAGGGCCTGGTCATGATGGGCTGAAGAGGACAGCGTGCTCAGCTTGTGTCCAGAGCATAGCAGTGGACGTCCAGGGGGTCCTCCTTAGTCCTGTCACCCAGCACTGCATGGTCCAGGTCTCCCCATCTGGGAGATGCTCTTCAAAACTCCTTACCTGGCAAATCCTGTGTGTGATTTGGGTCGCTTATAAGAATGTCTCCATGTGTATTTACTTCCCAGGGGTCTGACATATGAGGGCTACAGATCTCCTTGTATAGCTGCTGTAACTTTGGTGTTCATAACATGTAAAGGTTTAGATCTAGGTAAGCATTTGAAAGCTTGGTTTCATCTGATTACATATTGTATCAGTTTGTATCTTTCCAGGGTAGGCTTCAGTATTTCACACTTGATGCATCATCTTGTGGTTTCTTCATTTCACGTCAGTTTTGAACAGCTCAAAATGGCCGTCACCCACCTGAAGAGACAGGCTAACAAGAAGAGCGAGGGCAGCCTGGCGTGCGTGAAAGGGGGACTCAGTACTTTCTTTGAGGCACAGGACGCCCTCTCAGGTAAGGTGACCCCCAGCCATCAGCTGGGGCTTCCCCACGGGCACCAGGCCCTGCACGTACGGAGTATTTGCAGGCTGTGATGCTGAGGCTGTGTCCCTGGGAGCGGAGCTCTGCAGTGGCCACCAGTCAGTCTTTGCGGCCGGGCTGGAATCTCTTTGAAGGCTTGGTACCTTAAGTATTTGTCCCTGAGGCTTTGCTCACCCATCAGACACGTGTGAAGTAGGAGACCACTTTGCCTCCCCGCAGTGTCTGGTGTCCAGGGACGATAAGGAGTTAAATCCCAAGGGTAGAATTCTAGAATTTAAAAAATCCTTGTACAGCCATCAGTATCTTGCACATGGGACTAATTCTGTAGACGTGACCCATTGTGTGTTTGGTCTGGGAAGAACTGGTGATAACGTGTCCTTCCTTTGTAGCCATCGCCCCACCAGCCCCGCACGGTAGCTAACTCCCCCACCCACGTACTCGTCCTTGCATGTGAAGGCAATGGTATTCAATAGAAATGGTGTGGCTTTAGACATTTCAAGGGAAGATGTTGGGTAGGTTATTTTATTTTTTTCTTTTTAACTACCTTTAATTAATAAAAATCAAATTATTGTTTATCTAGTAAAAAGTAAGATATATTAAAAAAAAAAGTTAGCCCAATTCTTTTTAAAAACAAAGACACCTGTAACTAAGTACCTGTATAGCTAAATACCTATAACCCAAACTGTAGACTAAGAGGCCACACCTTCTTCGATTCAGAAAGACTTAGTTTTTAAAATTAATTTGTATTGTTGAAGTTCGGACGTCCTATTATCTTTTTTAAAACCCTTCTCCTCCTGGGCCAGACACGCTTGGTTGCCTTTTGACAAGTTAAATGTGCGTTTGGTACAGCTCTCTGCACGTAGAAGTTAGGTCTTGGAAGGAGTGAGTTGTGAGTGCCTGGGGGGAGCTGAGAAGTCAGGTCAACTTTGCTAAAGTCTCTGTGCCCTGCGTTTTTTGATGGTGTGCTTTTCTTCCTTCTTTGTGCTTATTGATATTCTAAGTTGTCAGTGGTGCTATGTCAGCAGCAGAAACTCGAGCATAAATGAACTGAGTTTAGTGTTCTCGAGTTGAACGAAGTTGTCGATATGCCTGGTAGCTGTGCACGTGATAATTTGCCATATGTGATTAGCAGTTCTCATAACTATTGTAATTACAATATTTCCTTAGCAAAAACATGCTTGACTTTTCTCTCCACCCTTTTTTTTTTTTTTTGCGGTACATGGTCCTCTCACTGTTGTGGCCTCTCCCATTGCGGAGCACAGGCTCCGGACGCGCAGGCTCAGCGGCCATGGCTCATGGGCCCAGCCGCTCCGCGGCATGTGGGATCTTCCTGGACCGGGGCACGAACCCGAGTCCCCTGCATCGGCAGGCGGACTCTCAACCACTAGTGCCACCAGGGAAGCCCTCCACCCTTTTTTTTTAACATATGTATTTGTAAACACATGTATACTTGTGTTCATTTATTTATGGTCTTATATAAATGGCTTCACTCCTGGCAGATTTTAAGAGATTTTATTTGGTGCATTAAATTTAGTCTCATTTATTAGACATTTGTCCTAGAAGTATACTGGTAATTTAAAGTTTAGCAAAGATGATAATGCTGACCAGCTACTAATAAGCGAGTGACTCTGTGGTATATAGAAAATGATTTTAATGGTAAATTAGAAAATTTTAAACATACATATATCTAGCTTTTCTATTTTTTGATGTAAATGTACATTACAAAAAATATTAAACAGACAAATAATCAAGAATGACTTACAACCCTACTGTAGGGATAATCACAGTAACATTTTGACGTATTTCCTTTTGGTCTTTTTTCCCCCTCAGCTTATATGAGTGCCTATTAAAAAATTGGAATTATGTTGTGTATATAGTTGTGTGTGCTAGAAATCTTTTATACTTTAGGTGGCTCCTCTGAGTAATTATTTTACTATACTTTAGCATTTGATTTGTTTTATTAGTAGCTCTTTAAAAATTTTTTCAACTGTAGTCTTAATTGAAATTGAACTGTAGTTTTAAAAAATGCTTTTTCGATCAGGTTTTGGTGTTACTGTTATACAGAATCATGTGGATCTGTATGAGTATATGTTCGTACTGTGAAGTGGGTTATGTAGATTAGGAATTAATTTGAAATTTGAGAGCGTTGATACATTGAAAGAGCTAATAAACCGTCTGCTCAGGTAATTAGCTTTACTTTCCTATTATGAAAAATTCCAAGCATGCTAAGAGTAGAGAGAATAGTACCATCACTTCCGTATATACCTGTCACCTAGATTTAACAGGTCATATTTTTCCATACTTGCCTCATCGCAGGTTTTGAGGTTGGTTGGTTTGTGTTTTGCTGATCTCAGGCAGCACGACCTTTCTCTCCTGTGCACTTCAGTGTGAGTCCCCTGATAAGGACGTTACGTACTCGACCACAGCCCCGTGACCACAGCTCAGAAAGTTCCAGTAATCCTTCAGTATCATTCAAGGCCCCAAATTCAAATTTCCCCAGTTACATTTACTTGGTTTGTCCAAACCAAGATCCACATAAGACCCAGGCAGTTCTTTTTTTTTTTTTTTTCCAGTCTCTTAAGCCTCTTTTAAACTAGAACAGTCCTTTCACCTTCGCTACCCATCTTCATTTTTTTCATGCTATTGATTTGTTGAAGACATGAGGCTGTTTGTCCTGTAGGATATCCCATATTCTGGATTTGACTCATTACTTCCTCATGGTGCCATTAGCTTATTTTACTCTCCATTGTATTGCTGGGACTTATCTGATTGGATACCAGTCTGATTGGATATCAGTTTTGACCCTTGTGGCTACATGTGGTAGTGTGTGCTTCCGATCTTATCCCATCAGGAGGCGTTAGTGTCTATTCCTCCTGGAGAGAGACCCTGGGGTGTATATATAGGCACTGGCAGTGTGTATATAGATACACTTTTGAAATCTTTGCTTTTTGTGTTTTGTGGATTTTGGTTTGGCTTTCTCCTGAAGTTCTCTATTTCATTAAGATTTTCATGCCTTTTAGAATTGCATTATAATTGAAAAGTCATTAAAAATTCATTGTAATAGGCCCTTGTCGCCAGTTTCATTCACTCGTGTGTCCTACTTCTTGGTTTACGTTGATTCTTTAGTTATGCCTTTTTTGTGTTTTTAAAATTTGAAATTTTCCTCTTTGATCTAGTAGTTTATAGTGGATTTTTGTTTTTTAAAGTTAGTTTCTAGTCTAACTATATTATGAAAAGAAAATGTGTTTCTTGATAGATACCAGTTTTCTTCAACTGCCTGTTCTCTTCAGGGCACACTGATTGGTTTATTATTATCAGTGCCTGATTAATTACTTATGTTATTTAAGTCTAGGTTATTTATAATAAACATGCCAGACAAATCTCCCTCTTTAATTTTGATTCTGTCAGTTTTTCTTTGTATGTAAAACATGTTTCCTTTGTAACTTTAGATGCTTGGATTCTCTTGATACTAATATTACACTGTAAGGTAATAATAATAGCTGCAAAATTGGGGCACTTCCCAGGACTACCGCAGGTTTGGTGATCAGTGGGAAGAACTCACAGTTGTGTACTCACAGTTGTGGTTTATTATAGTGAAGGGAGACAACTTAGCTCAGCCTGGGGAAGGGCACCTGGGGTGGGGCCAGGCAGTCCCACCCACAGGGAGCCCTGGTTGTCCTCTCGGGTGGAGTCATGTGGCGCTGACCCTCCTGGTGGTGATGTGAGATGATGGCGTGGAGTGTTGCACCCAAGCCTGGCGTCTGGAGTTTTTATCGGGACTCTGTCACATAGACATGAGCTGACTCCAACAGCTGACCTCCATCTCCAGTCCCTCTGGAGATCGAGCCAATGCCAAGTGACCAAAGCCCTTACCATAAACCACGTTGCCAGACTGTGCGGTGCAGCCCCATCACAGAAGATGCTTGAAGAGCTTAGAGGTGACCTTCTAGCAGCCGAGGGCAAAGGCCAACCCCCTCTTTGGGCAAGATTAAATTCTTTACTGTACAGGATTAACATTCCATACCCTTCTTTTTGTATGCATTTGCTTGATGATATTATGCATTAAGTTCCTTTTAACCTGGAGAAATTTTGATTTTGTTTCTCTCTTATAAGCAAGAAATGGTAGGATTTATATTCTTTTATGCTGTTCTGAGAGGTTCTGCCTTTTCATAGAAGAATTTAAGCCATGTACATTTATCATAAGTGAAACTTCTGTCCTTTTGTTCTGTAATTTTTTTTTTTTTTTCATTTTTACCTCTGCTATATGGACCATATTGTTTGCAGATTTGGAAGAAATGGTCTTACATTTTATTACAGGTTGTCGCTGACTCCTGATGTGCATGACAACAGTTAGGCACATCTGCATTCCTCATGTGCTTTCCTTTTTTCTGGTCTTAATTTAATCTGAAGTCATAGACCCAGCTGCTTTTTTTTTTACCTTTTCTGTTTTATGATTCTGTTTCTAGATTTATTCTTGTCTTTTGCATTTAATTTCATATTTACCACAGTTACTTAAAATTTACCATTTATACACATACATTACGTTGGCTTTACTGTTTGTTGCCAGTTGTGTATATGTGTCATCTTTCCTCTTCGGATTTTTTGTTTTGTAACTCTTGTGCGTTATCTGTTGAATTCCTGCATGCAGAAGTGCCTCTTGCTTTCATACGTGAACAGCCCCTTGGCCATAAGAGAATGACTTTTAAAACATTGATTCAGGGTCTTTTAGTGTCACAGAGAGGAAATCCTGAGCCAGCGTAATTCTTTATTACTTGGAGGTGACTTGTTTATTTTTCTCTCTGCCTAAATGCTTAAGATATATTTGTTTAGCCTTCAATTATTAAAAAAGAAAAAAACCCAAAACAAAAAATCACCTTTTCAGGATATATTGGAATGTAGGTCTTGTTTTTATTCGTTTTACCCAACACTTGATGAGCTTTTAGAGCCTGTAGACTCACACCTGCAGAGGCTCTGACACTTTTTCTTTCTCTCGGTCAGCTGTCACTCCCTGGGGTGTCTCTGAGAGGCTTCTTCCCCTGCTGCTGCCCTGCACGGTGCTCAGGGGAGGAGCCCTCTGCTAATTTCCCTCCCTCTCCTGCATGCTGGGTGCTGGGAAATGGTGTTCTTAAACAGTCCTTTCCTTAAAGGGGTGTTGGAGGTGAGAACAGTAGGGGAGACTCTGTAGTCTTGAAGACTTGGGAAAAAGTCTGCAGGTGTGTCATGTCTGGGCCACCCTGTGTTACAGAGTTAGCTGGATAAATACCTTTCTCTGCCCTTTTGATATCATCTGTGTTCTTCTCTTGACTGAGTGGACTTCTTTCATACACAGTCCAAGGATTTTTTTCAGTCCATCCCAGTCAGGTGTACAGTTGGCAGCAATTACCTTCTTGTATGGCTTTTATTTATCTTTAAGGTTTTGTGCTGTTTTCTTTATTCCTTTGTGTACCATGAGTATTTTAATTAGAATTTGGCAAGAATTGTGTCTGGCATAACTAATCTGCCAATGTTAACCTCGGTGTGTTTATTATTATGGTTTTTTCTTTACCATATCCTGCAAAAATATTCCCAGCACCTTACTTCACTTTCCCGTGGCTGTCGCCCTGCTGTTCCCTTCCGGGCCTCAAAGCCTTGAAGCCCAGGTTCTCCCCCGTTGCGGTGGTGCCTGTGGGGCCTCCTTACAGGAAAGGCCGGCTGTTCCTCAGTCCCTCTGACCCTCACCTGGCCAATCATTTGTTTCAGTGGCAGGTCCAGCCCCATCGACTGCTCCTTCTGAGAACAACTGTGGGCCTGGCCTTCTTTACCATATACGCTAGGTGAGGGGTCGCCGAGGGAGGAGGCCCAGGCAGAGTGGCAGCGCGTGCTGCTCAGAACACGCGTGGCCCTCCCTCCGTCCGTGCGTTGCTGCTGCTCCAGGAGCGGGTGCCACTCTGTTGAGGGGTGCAGGTAACCTCGGCACGCGCTTATCCAGGACCCACTTTCCTAAGTGGGCTCCTTTGTACCTGCTAGTCTTCGAAGGAGTAGTGGGAATTATGTTATTATTGTTTTCAGTATAACTGAGGAAGGAAAGAATTCATAGAGTACCCAACCAATTTAGATGTAATTTATGTGTGATTTAGCCACTCTGATAAAAATTTGGTAGAGTAAGAAGTAGAGAACTAAATGTTTGAAAAGTTCTATATAAATCTGAGTTATTAATACATCTCACCCTAACCCTGCCTAGTGTCCTATCTTAGTATTATCCTCAGAGGTCGGCACCTGGACCAAGCTGGGCCACACCTGTCTTTGTACACGTCAGGAGCTGAACATGCCTGTTTTTCAAGAGTTGTTTAAGAAAACAAGGGAGAAGAATGTGTGCTAGAGGCCCCCTGTGGCCCCCAAAGCCCTCAATATTTACAGTGTGTTTCTTACAAAAGTAGTTTGCCAGTCTCTGGTGTAGCCTGAAATGCCTGCCGCACACAGGCCGGTTGCAGCATTCAGTGGTTAGAGCCTGCAGCTAGCTTGTGGATGGCCGTGTGCCTGACACTCCTGAGGGACTCCACCTGCACTCATGCCTTTCCTTACTGCTCACCTAATAATGGCGTTATATAAATGCTTACATAAATATTATGAATTCTTAAATTGAAATTAGAAAATTCGATGCCCACATTCTGTTAGAATTCAATAAAACAAATCATTTCTTTGAATCAGTAGGCAGTCTTTCTGTAACTGATTTTTCTTTGAGTAGAACTTTCACAAACATACTTTTTTGTTTCCCAAATATAGATTTATGGTGTTCAACTGCTTCACATATTTAAGTTTTAATACATGAGAAACTAACAAGCCTGTGACTGTGGACTGAGTTGCTCTTTTTTTTTTCTTGAGGTTTTCCTGCTTATCAGGGTCACAATTTTATTTTAAATTAATTATTTTTGGCTGCGTTGGGTCTGTTGCAGAGCGCGGGCTTTCTCGTTGTGGCGAGTGGGAGCTACTCTTCTTTGCGGTGCACGGGCTTTTCATCGCGGTGGCTTCTCTTGTTGCGGAGCACAGGCTCTAGGCACGCGGGCTTTAGTAGTTGTGGCGTGAGGGCTCAATAGTTGTGGCTCTTGGGCTCTAGAGCGCAGGCTCAGTAGCTGTGGCGCAAGGGCTTAGTTGCTCCGCGGCATGTGGGATCTTCCCGGACCAGGGCTCGAACCCGTGTTCCTTGCATTGGCAGGTGGATTCTTAACCACTGCACCACCAGGGAAGCCCCCAAGTTGCTTATTGAGTTATACTATTTAAAAATGTTTTCAGAAAAAATAAAAGGTCAAGTGACCCAGACCTTGGGTTATTTGCATTAGTTTTCTGGAAAATAGGATTGCCTTTATCAGATCCTAGTGTCTCTGGGTCCTCATGCTGGCTGACAGCCTGACGGGTCTGCTGTGTGGAGATGGGCCCAGGAAGCCGCTTTGTGGCGGAACAGGGCTGTGAGCCATGCAGCAGCCTGGACCTGTGGAGTGGCAAGGGGCCTGTCAGTAGCAGAGAATGTGGCTGGGGACTCATTTAGTGCAGACTCTGACTTAGAAGCAGCATTCGAACAGAAGCTCTCAGGTGTAACCTCTTAACTGCCACTGATAGACCGGGAGCGGTGACCATCTAATAACATGCCACGTGACCACTGGCTCCCTTCCAGCCAGGACTGTCAGAAACACAGCAGCCTTTGCTCGGGAGCAGTGCAAACAGATGTGCTTGTTTGGAACATAGGCGTCCTTCTAGTTTCGCTTTTTAATATTTGGGCTTTTAAATCTCCGTTCCTTAAAGATAGGAAAGTTCTTTTCCATTTAACTTAATCAGTTCAGGGTATGTGGAAATGTTTTATGTCATCACATAATCCAAATTTAAAATATTAGATGAATAACTTTCTTTTCATTCCTGAATCAACCAAGACAATTAAAAATGCAGTAGTTGGGTTTTCCCCCCAAATATAGATATTTTTCTTCCTATGAATGTGTTTTTTTCAACATAGAAGCAACATATTTTTAGAGTTTCATGCAAAATTTGAGGTTGTTTTACAAAAAAGTATAAAAAAGGACAAGATTAAGAGTAGAAACTAATTAAAAGAAGTCCTCAATGTTCAAAGCTCATTTGACCCAGAATTCCCTAACCAGTGAGTCAAGGGAAACCAACTAAATTGTAATTGATTAAAGAAACACACATCAGTTTTGCTTAGACAGACTTTTTTTCCCTGTAAATCTGCCACTCCTGACTGGTGGGTTGAGGCAGAACCTGTCAGTACCTTCTAAGGAGGAGTTTGAATGTTAGAGAAGAGCTCGTGTCCTGGAGTGCTGCTGCCCTGGAGTCCTGCCAGGATGCTGGGGAGTGAGCTGTCCTGCAGCGGAGTGTGTGCTGGAGCAGGTCCGTCCGGTGAAGGCATAGAATCCTGGCTGTCTCAGCAGCTGTTATTTTGGAAAGAAGTCTTGTATTTGCAACTGAATGCAGTTCCCCACTGACATAGTAGTTCTGTTGTTCCCAGTTTACAGATGTGGAAACAAAGGCTGAGGGGGTTTGGGTCACCTGTCCTTGCTGTGTGGGCAGGATGTGGTGAAGCTTCTTGTCGTGGGATCACACCGCTTGAGCTCAAATTTGGGGGTTTGCTTTGTGACCTTGGTCAACTTATTTAATTTTACTGAGCTGTGGTTTTCCCATCTGTGAAATAGAGATAACATTAGAAGCTCATCATTGGCTTCTTACCAGATATGCATCGTGCGTTAGAAACTTATCATGGTGCTCTGCTTATGGTCATGTCTCGATAATATTTGCCTTGCTATTTTTATTACTTTTACTGTGTCACATTTTTGCATTTGAAATTGTATTTGGAGATTTGTTTTGAAAATTTTCTTAATGAGTCACCTGAGCAAGCCTGATCTGCTGTTTAAAACCTCCTCTCTTCAGTAGGTAAAAGTTTTTAAATATAAATTAACACTTTCCTAATACCCTTTATCAGAGTCATTCAGATGTGCGTCAGTGTTAGCAAACAACTCCAGTGTAATTCGTACATCCACAAATTGACGTATTGGTAGATGTTACTAGATATTTCTTGAGAACCTCCAGGGAAATAATTACAGACTGAATAGAATATGAATAATACGTATTTTGCCATGTTAAATCCCAAGGCTGAAATTAAATATTTTGAGGTTGATAGATATCAAATAGTAGTATTTCTATTTTGTAGTTGGTGAAACTGAGAAATAAGAATGACTTTCTTATGGCCAGATATCAAAGATATTAGTTATTTAAGCCTCACTTTTCGTTTTTAATTCAACCGTCTTTACCACTCAGCCTTGGTGATCAGATGGCTAAGTACGTGTATTATGTACTATTTTAATAGCATTAAACTACCATGACTTAATACTGGTGTCTGCTGGTTACTTTGCAGAGTTTGTGCAGAGTTTTTGTGTGTTTGTGCTTCCTTCTAGCAGTGAAAATATGACCATTTTTTATGCCGTTTAAAAATGTCCTTTTGACGTAATGTTTTCCCACCCATTAAAATAGCCTATATTTTAACTAGATCCTTTTTTCTAGCCATCCATCAAAAACTAGAAGCGGATGGAACGGAAAAAGTTGAAGGATCCATGACGCAGAAACTGGAGAATGTTCTGAACAGTAAGTTTTGTCCTACTACCCGAAACTATTTATGGACTTCATAACAAGCTTTGATACAGTTCTTGGACCTGGTTTCACAGAACAAGGCAGTAAGTTGTATTTTAGTATTTATTTCTAAATAGTAGTGATTTAGTGAACATAAAGGGGGATAAAAACATTGAAAATGAATGTTCTCTTTCTGTTTGCATTTTATTTATGAGAACTCATCATTTGAAAGCAAGCCAGTGTACTTCTTAAAAAGTAAAATTTGTTACCATAAAGGAGGCCAGGATATAAATAGCATCATCAAAGATAGAAAAATGCTGCAGCAGTAACCAAGATTGTCATTGACCAAAACCTGAAAAAGCATCAAGTACGTGCCAGCGTAAGTGCAAGTAACATCAGCTACTAGAGTGACAGATACCGAGCTGCTGTCTATTTATTTATGCCTTACCTTTTTCCAAAACAACTTTAAGGCAGCTGCATACTTGAGTGTTTCCAACTCGGAGACATTTTGTAGGAATTGTAGGCCAAGAGAAACTGATACATGCAATTTGAGGCCCTGTCCACCTCCCCTTCTTTTTTCTGACATCTGTACTTCCAGCTACTTTATCCTACTGATTTAGAAGAAACTCATCAGATAAATCAATCCCTATTATAATATTAGTGGCTTAAAAGTAAATTATTCTCTTCCACGTATGTAGTGAAAACATTTGACAAGGAGCAGTAACGCCCAGAGGACTCTCCTAGTCCTCAAGTATAAGCATATATAGCATGTGATTTCTCCAGGAAGTAGAGTAGGGTTGAGAAGAACTGAAACATTTAAGAACCCCGGCATCGGCTCTTTAGTGATTCTGTAAATGCAGGACTGTGATAGCAAGTCAGTTTTGCACGTCTAGCTTAATTTAGTCCCATCAGCAAAAGTTTCTGAGCTTTTTTGTAAATATCTATTTGTCATTGACCAAAACCTGGAAAAGGTTTTGGTCAATGACAAATATCTAAACCTGGGGATAGCTCTAATAATAAAAGTGTTTCCTAGAAAGAAGCTTTAATTTGATACAGGCTTTCCTTGGTAGTAGAATTTGAGTACTTGGATTTCATCCCAAAATTTATGAGTTTAACAGCACTTTAAATTTTTTTGTCTCTGGTTGTTGGTATTATTATCATCATCATCACCATTTTGCCTTGAGATTTTACCTCGTTCCTCGTTCTCATCTGAGAACCAAGTCACCAGCTTTGTTCAAGTGGCTATGTTCAGAATTCAGCCCAAATAAGCATTTACTAAAGCTATTTCTATATTAACATAGACATTTTAAGGTCTTGGATGGATATTTTCTGTTTAGGGATGTTATTTTCCCTGGAGAAGGAAACCATGATATCTGTTTAAAAAAACCATCAAACCATGATATCTGTTTAAAAAAAAGATTATGTCAGCAACTTTTAAAAGGTGGCTTGTGAGAACAATCTGGCTTAGTAAGTATCTCATTGTATCAGTAGAAGAAAATGGATATTTGCTCAGGTTTGGAAAAAATCACGATCTGTTTCATGGGTGAGGCCTGGCATAGTATGTTAATGTAATTTTTTTCTTTTCAGTAGTTTAGGTAATTCTCCTTTGGGACTTGTGGTATAAAATTTGTAAGGGAAATGGTTTTACTTCTGTTTCTTTATAAGCACAAACTTTTTCTAGAAATGTGTCCTTTTACCTTTCTACTGAAATTTGCTCTTTTTTGGGTAAAGTTGGCTTAACGTGAATGTCACTTCTTTGAGAGTCCGGACTTTCTGGGATAAAAATTTCCTGTAGATTATATTCCTTTGTAACAGTCCATTTTTCCTAGAAACATTTTTATGTCAACTGGATGTTGATGTTTGCTATCTTAGGGTAAGTCGTGTTAGTTTAGGTCAGCTTGGTGAACATTTGTAAGACTGGTTGTGTCAAGTGCCGTGCTGGGTCCAGCGTTGAGTATGGAGCTGGGAGGGATGTGGCTGCCGCCCAACAAGCAGGTCCCCTGCCCCGACGGCGTGCCCAGGTCACCGATTCACCGATCTTTAGGAGCTGTACCGCTGGGGAACTGAAACAGAAATTTTGCAGGAGTGCAAATGTAGTCCGGTTTGCTTAAATTATATATTTTTTCTTTTTTTTGAATTCCTATTTCTCCATTTATTTATTTATTTATTAGCATCTTTATTGGAGTATGATTGCTTTACAGTGGTGTGTTAGTTTCTGCTGCATAACAAAGTGAATCAGCTATACGTACACATATATCCCCATATCTCCTCCCTCTTGCATCTTCCTCCCACCCTCCCTATCTCACCCCTCTAGGTGGTCACAGAGCACCGAGCTGATCTCCCTGTGCTATGCGGCTGCTTCCCACCTAACATTTGGTAGTGTATATATGTCCATGCCACTCTCTCACTTCATCCCAGCTTCCCCTTCCCCCTCCCCGTGTCCTCAAGTCCATTCTCTACATCTGCTTAGATTATATTAATGCTTTAATCTTGTGTATAATTACATACTAACTTACGTGCATTTTCCCTGAGTTATTTTAAATGAAAGTTTTTTAAATTTGAGCAAGCTTTTTCACTTTGTTTCTAAAGGATGATGTTGACTAAGAAATTCAGTCCCTTTTGTTCAGAATTTATCAGTGTTGAAGCCTTTCATTGAAATTCTTTTTTGTTTTCCCTGATACATGTTTCTCATATTTGCCTTGGTATTTAATAATTCCTTCTTGATTTCAAGCCAGTGATGACTGTTAATTTCTATCAAGTCCACATATCTCACTCTGTGTTGTTACCTGTTCCGAGAGCATAGAACAGCGCCGTTCAACAGAACTTCTGCCATGATGGAAATGTAGCTCTTGAGCACTTAAAATGGAACTAGTATTGCTGAGGAATTTAATTTTTATTCAGTCTTAATAATTTGGCTTTAAGTCGAAGTAGCCCCGTGTGGCTGGTGCGGCTGGGCTAGGCAGGCAGGTGTGGGGAGGGACCGTGTGGTCTAGGTGTGTGTCGCCAGAGCTGGGACAGCTAGACCTCTGTGCCCCTCACTGGTGTCAGGGCTTGCTCCCACAGTCCACAGATGCTCAGCCCCCCTGGTAACCCCGGGAGGCTTGTGCTGTAACCCACATTTTACTGACGAAAAACTGAGGCTCAGAAAGATTGAACGCGTTACCTAAAGTCACATCAGCAGTAAGTGGCAGAGCTGGGATCTGTGTCTGTGCATCTGGCTCTGAGCCTGCGCTTTAAACTACAGACTGCCTTGCTGGTTTGGGATGCGTGGGTTTCAGTGACCAGTATTCTTGCCACGTTGCATCAAGCACACACCTGGTTGCTAGCTCTGCGGTCCACTGAACGTTCAGCAGTAACATGCCCAGCTGCTCTTCCTGCAGAGTCGGGGGGACCCACTGCAGACGCTTGCCAGGTCCTGCTCAGACAGCAGAGTGTGGCCGTGGGCAGCCTCCTCGTCTCCCAGAGAGAAGCTTGCAGACATTTCACAGACATGGAGACTCAGAAGGGGAAGTTGGCCCACAGAGATGAAAGTGCATCAGAAAAGGGAAAGTGGTGACAGTGTGAGTGGAATTCAGGTCCAGCACGACTTGGGTTGTAGAAGTGGCTGTGGTGGGGTGTGGACTCGGGGAGGCCCAAGGAGCTCAGTGAGGGTGGACTTGCCCGCCGAAGCCAGGAGGGTGCGACGAGGAGGTAAGGCCGACGCAGAGGGAGTGAGGCCGACGGAGCGCTCAGAGCTGACCCGTGAAGCTGGAAGTACAGCAGACACACGTGGGAACGAGCGTCGTTGTTTGTCCGAGCGCAGAAAAGATGCTTGACACGTGCTGTAAACTTTATGACAAGAAGAGGCGGGCTATCTTGATGATATTTTTTACAAAGAAATTAAACACTTGAATTTTCAGTGTTTCTAATGTTTTTTATTATAGTGTGCTAAATAAAAATTAGTTTTACTGTTTTTTCATTTTCTTATTGATCTATAACCAACAGTAAGCAAGTTTTTAATGTTTCAGCAAAAATTTTCTAAGTCACAGAACAAGCGTCGTTTTCGCGTTGATTATTAGGATTGCTTGCTCTGCTCGGTTTAGCTGCCCGATCACTGACGTGGTCCTGCACATGGGCCCTGTGCTTGCTGTCCCTCCCTCAGGGGACAGAGTCCTGGGCACTGGTTCTGAGGCTGGTTTCTGGCACTTGCCCTGTAAGCGTTTATTGAGCGCTCTTATTCCTCTTCAGGGACAGGAGGATGAAACTTGTGCTTTACTTCCGAGAGTTTATAATGCAGTGAAAAAGTAGGACCAGATAGGCAGGGGATTAAATTGTGGTGTGACAGTGCTCTGCTGGCCCCGATGGAGAGAGGACGGGGGAGGGCTGCGAGCCTCAGGAGAGGAGGGGGACAGGCCAGGCAGGCTGACATTGGCCGGTGGGCACTAAGTGGGCCCAGGTGCATCCTGGGCGGGGCAGGCCGCACGAGGAGGAAGGCGCTGACCTCAGGGGAGATGGTGTGGGCCGTGAAGCAGGACCGAGTACCCTGGGGTGCAGACGTGAGGGCTGAGGCTGCCGGGTCGAGGGGTCTGCTCATGACAAGCTCTGTGTGGTGTTGTGGAGTTTGTCTTTATCTTGAGACTACTGGTGAGCCGTGGGAGGATTTTACATAAGGAAGTCACATGGTGAACTTTTAAAAAAACATTCTGTCATCTGTCCAGAGAATGTACTGGAGGGAGCTGGATAGAGACCAGAAGAGAAACCGGTAGAAATGTGCACTGGTGACGTGACAGCGGTTTGTGGGACCCCAGCGTCAGGCCTGGCTGGGAACAAGCACTAGGTGACTCAGGTAGTGACCTTGTTCATGTAATGTCGCCCTGTAATGTCAGATAGCTGACTGTCTGGCCATTTTCTGGAGTCTGTTAAGATAAACGAGACACACAGCAGGTTGTTCAGTCTCTTTGTGTCCTGGTTTTGCTATGAATTTAAGTATACGTTGAAAAGTTACCTTAAATTTCATTCAGCTTTATTGTTCCTGGGGTAAACTGGGTCGTGGGTGTGTAGGGGGAAGCCTCCTCCCATCCCCCCCATCCCCCCAGCTCCCATCAAGCAGAGACGCAGGTTATACATCACCCGTACTGTCCTCTGTGCTGGGTGCCAGTGCCGTGAAAAGGGGCCAGAGAGAGCTTCGTGTTTACTTTAATAAACATGCTTGAAATGACCAGGCGCCATCAGAAGTACATGACTAGCTTTTGTGGATGACGGGTTCCTGGCACAGTTACAGTGTTTTTCCATCTTTGAGGGCAGGTATGAGTTTGATTGGTCAGTGGGCAGTACTGCAGTGACTTGTCTTCCCATCTTATTCTCCAGCTCTGCTGAGATATAGTTGACACAGGACATTGTGCAAGTTTAAGGTGCGCAGTGTGATGGTTTAGATACGTGTCTGTGATGCCGCGTGTTCACCCCACCCCCACCCCCGCCAGCGCTGTTGCCACACGTAATTCCATTTGTTTATGATGAGAATGTTTGAGATTTCCTCTTGAAGCCACTTTCAGGCTACGGTACAGCATTGTTAGCTCTGTTTCCGATGCTATGCATCAATCCTCAGAGCGCATCCATCTCCCTGAGGCCCCAGCCCGGCCTGCTTACAAGAGCTCGGCTTTTCAGGCTCCACATGTTAAGTGGAGCCACTCAGGGTCTGTCTTTCTGTGACTGGACGTGGCGTGGAGCCCTCCGGGTCCATCCGCGTCTCCCTGTCTCATGCTGAGGAAAATATCACTGCCCTGCCAGCCCAGCTGAGGCCAGTGTCATTGCTGTCAGTGCAGGGGGGGGCATCCATCCCCAAGACCATGATGCAGTGTCCCTGTTGGGGGAAGGGGACAGCCTTCAGCCTGCACGTGCCCAGGGCTGCTCGTGGGCTGGCACAGGTGGCCTTCAGGGCGGCCCTGCCTCCGCTCGTGGGGCCAGCGTGCCCTTCTCCTCTCAGCTGCCCTCAGGTGTGGCTGATGAGCTGCTGCTGCTTTTTTATCTGCTTGCACAAATCTCGGTTTCCCTGCTTTCGTTTCTTTTCTTGCTGTCTATAATCATCCAGTTATCAGAGCTATGAACTCCCAGAATTTTATTGTGAATGCAGTAAAGTTTGCAACAGAATAATTTATGGACAGAAATTATCTATAAATTAAAATCATAATTTCATGACTTAAAATTTGTACGTAAATTAGAATTCTCTATATGTATACATTTCTGTGTAACTAAATTAAATTTTAATTTTATAATTTCTGCCTATAAGTTTTTCTGTATTAAATATTTACATTTTATTTAATTTTAAGCAGATTTTCTACCTGTGCTTGTTATAACTTTTAGGGGAGTTTGAAATTATTAGTTTGTATTTTTTTATTGTCTTTAAAATAAGATGAAAAAAAAAATCTAGTTTTGATATTTTGTGCTCCTTCATTGTAGAGAAAGTGCTTGGGGATTTAACATCCGCAGCGCACACATAAGTAATCAACCTTTAAAAATATTCAGTCCCCATTCACGTATCTAATTCATTCATGAAGCCTCAATTGGTGAAGTTTATTTCTAAATGATAAACAAATACTTAATATTAATTTTCTTCCAATAAAAATACTTTTAACCTTAATCACATTTCCAGTATTCATTTAGTCATCATTATATGGTTTGGTGGCAAGAAGGGAATATATTTTTTTTTCTCAGAGTAGAAATTTAGTATTCTACGTTAAATAAGCAGGTGGTGAAAATAGCTGTCCTGACAAAACAAAGTTTTTATACCAGGCCTTTAAAATTTCAACAGAATTTAAACATTATTTAGATAAAACAATTATGTTACAAAGATGACTTTTAACACACTCAGGCCACCCACAGTGTGGACCAGAGAATGCGGCATGCCAGCCACCCAGCGAGACTGAGGTCGTTTTTTTCATCTTTGCTTAAAGTATAGTCACTAGACCAGATAATGTAGAAACTTTTTATGAGCAGTGGTCAAACAGCCAAAAAAAGTTTATCCTTTTTCTTCCCTTTCCTTGTGACTAATTAAAAATAATTCACAAGTTGAAAAAGCTTAACTATTTTTGTACACAGTAAATTTTGTTTTAGATAAAGAAACTCTTTCATGACAGTGATTCGTAGAGTTTGAGGTCTCTAAGGTAAAAAAATACATATATATAGAATGTCCAGTCTGTGTATCATTTTAAGAAATATCAAGCTGATTTAAGAAATATTCATTAATAGTGGTGTGTTAAAGTTTGACATTTTAAATTGCTTATATCGTTTTTTGTGCCTGCTACATAAATAGATAATTTTATGTAGAAGCAGGATTAGGTCTAAAATATTTCTTTTGAACAACTTTTCTGAAAAAGTTTTTCCTTTTTTATTTTTATTACTATGGATCTGTAAATATTGAATCCAGAGAATTTAACTAGTGTACTTTGTGTGCACACATGTATATGTGTGGGTTTTAACCTGTTGTCTGAATTAATGAAATAACCTAAGGGTCCATAATGCTGTAAAACTTAAAAGAAGCTAAAATAAACGTAGATTGACATTAGACAATTTATTTGGGCCCGGTAAGTATGGTTATTCTTAATTGGATACCATTAATTGGTATACACGTATGAAAAGACTTCAGAGGCAAAAAGGAAATTGTGTGTTAGCAAATCATAAAAAAAAACTCCAATATAGCTGACTTTTAGAAAAGTCTACTACTGAGTTTTAATATTAAGTGCAATAGCAGTGTAACATTTTATTTCTTTTGTCCAGTGACACATTTTATGATTAAAATTATAGTTTTTATCTAAGTTTCTTTTTGTCCTTTTAAAATAGGAGCAAGTAACACTGCAGACACATTATTTCAAGAAGTCTTGGGTCGTAAGGACAAGGCGGATTCCACTAGAAATGCGCTCAATGTGCTGCAGCGATTTAAGTTTCTCTTCAACCTTCCTCTAAGTATTGAAAGGAATATCCAAAAGGTAGAGTGCATATTTATGTACCTATGGTCATAGATGTCATAAATTTTAAAGAGTTGTTAAGATGTTTTTTATCTTAACCAAATGTCTTCATTAAACTTTACTGACGGTCTCCAAAATGTTTCTTTATTTTAAAGGGTGATTATGATGTGGTTATTAATGATTATGAAAAGGCCAAGTCACTTTTTGGGAAAACGGAGGTGCAAGTTTTCAAGAAATGTAAGATTTGTTTATTACTTTTAGATTTTCTACTTTGCTTTTACAGGAAGAATGTGGAATGTAGTCTGCAAAGAATGTTACATTCGTTTTAGTTTTTGTTTATATGGTGCCCTTTCTCAAGTGTAAGACAGTTACTTCAGAAGTAACAGGATGGCTTTTCTTACTAAGATGGAGTGAAAACTGTAGGATAGGTTGGTCTTGGACGTTCTTTGCTGCTTGTTAATCATGTTGCTATTTAAAGTCTTTTCTACTGGAAAGAATCAGTTATAGATATTTTACAGAAACATAAATCTACATTTTAATCTTCCCTCTTCAGAAAGACCCATATATTTATGAATTCTAACCCTACTTTAAAGTAAACTAAACAACTTTTGAAATTATCTCTAAGGCTAGAGTTACAGAAAATAAGAAAAACCTAAAATGCCTTATGGTCATGCCTTATTAACTGGGAGAAATATCACAGGGCTTGATTAAATTTGTAAATAATTTTATTTTTATTGTGGTAAATTTACATGCAGTGATATGCACAGGCTTACATGTTGCAGCTCAGTGAGTTTGACAAATACACACGCCCGTGGAACCCACACCCTGGATAGAGCGTTTTCATCGCTCCGGAAATTTCCCTCTTGCCTCTTCTCAGTCGCCCCTCTACCCCAAGGCAGCCACTGTTCTGCTTTCCGTAATTGGATTTTAAATTTTCATTCTGTGAGTCGTGTAATTCTTTCCTTTTTAAACAGATTATGCTGAAGTAGAAACACGGATTGAAGCTTTAAGAGAATTACTTCTGGATAAGTTGCTTGAGACACCATCGACCTTACATGACCAAAAACGTTATATAAGGTAAACCTTCTGCAAGAATTTTGACAAATCACATGTGTCTGGATAGTGCTGCATACATCATGTAACTCTTAAAGCTGATTTGGGGGAAATTGGGAGATTGATGAAACGGTAAAAGGGAAGACAAGTAGCAGAAATTTAGGGCTACCTAGTGTAGGACACCAAAATTCTTTTGTGTACTCAAAAATTTGGGAGCACTCACTCTTTAAAGGCAAGGAAATCCTGCCGGTTTGGAGAAAGGAAAAGTAGCCTCATTGCACCTCTCCTCCCGTCCACAGCATCTTCCCCGGCCCGGGGTTGCGGGGGGCTCCCCATGGGCCCCCGCAGGTGGGGACTCCCTGACTGGCTTAGAGGGTGGCACTGTCCCACAGGCGGGAGGGTCTCTGGTGCCCCGAGAGTGGCCAGGGCTCAGCAGCGAGAAAATTCTGAAAGCTTTCAGTCTTGAAAAGGAAGTGGGAGGGCTTACGTGAAAAAGAAAAGCAGTAACAGCAAAAGCCATGGACACCACAGCATAGAGGGAACCATGTTGCCCGAGAGGGAAGGGCTTCAGCAGGCGCAGGGGTGCTGGAACTGCTGACTGCCCCCCCACACCCCAAACAAGCCTGCGCAGCTGTGTCTGAGCCTCACAGCCGCCATACGGTGTCTGCATCACACCTGGCGCGCAGGTGAGGACCTGGGACTCAGAGCGGTCGCTGCTCGGCGCGCACTGCCACAGGTCTCCCTGTCTGTCTGGCTTCACAGCCTGTCTTTGCTTTTCTCTAAGTGCCCCCAGAGGAAAGAATGCATTTGGGAGATTTTTCTGGCCTGTAGAATCATAGAAATCTAATGCTGCAAATAAACTGCACATTAGTTATCCAACCGCCTTTTTTTTTTTTTTTTTTTTTTTTAACATGTAAAATAACAGAGTTCCAGGAAGGTTAATCTCTCATGTAGGAAACATAGCTGGTTAGCATCTTGTCTGTGTTCTGCTGTGTTGCTTCACTAATCGGGCTTTGTGTCTATTTACCTGTTTACACTTATTCTTTTTCATTTGCTGATACGTTAAACCTTATTGAGTGCAGGATTTCTTTGTGTAGCGAATTACCATTTATGTAGATTACTCATGTACGGTTCCTGTGACTGGTTAACCTACTGGATACCATTTAAAAGATGGTGGGTGTTAAAAAAGATTCTTTAAAATGGCCTATTTAATGTTTTATTCCCTGTCATTTTAAAGAAAAAGAACAAGAATGTCACTGAGAATGTCAAGTCATTTACTTATTTTTTAATCATTATTTTATTTTTGATACTTTGAGAAGATACTGAGCAATTTTATCATCCTTCTTAAATTATGGGTTTCATTATTAATGAATAGGAAAGACAACATCACAACCAGACCAAATATCTGTTGGACTTTGGAATCTATGGTGCACAGTCCTTTGAGCACCAAGTGGGGGTGAGACTCTCAACTTTATCATCAGCAAAACTCCATCTCTTAGCGCTCACGTAACCAGGTTGCGCAGGGAATGAGCGAGTCAGATTACCCCTGTGTTGTTGTGCTGTTGTTCACTGCTGTATCTACCTAAAGACATCCTGATGCTTTTCACTCTCCTTACTCTGGTGAGGCTAGTAGCTCAAGTAAGAAGCAAAGTACCACATACTTCTTCCATGCCAGTGTGATTCTGTCCTTGGTAATTGTTAAAAATCATGTTCGAGTATGGCTAAAGACTTTAATTCTTAAATTTAAAAATTTTGAGCCCATGCTCATCATAATTAACATTCCTTACCTTCTGCCCTCTAAAAAAGTTTTTAAAAAAGTGTTCTCAGATAACACGTATTTAAAAGAAATAGCAATAATCTGTATCATATGCTAAGCCAAGATCTTTGAAATGAAACTATATACTAAAAGAAAAGAAGACGCTCATTGGATTAAGTCATTTAACCAAGGAAGAGCCTAGCACAAGTTGTGCTTTTGAACTGAGACACTGCAGAGTTTCTGAGACAACAAATTTATCTTTCTTTATAAAACTCTTTTATGTAATACCCATTAGCAAGATGATAGAGAATTATTATTAAATTTTGGGAGGACCTAGTCAGCATACTAAAAAGACATAATCTGAGAAGATGCTGAGCAGAAAGGCATGTTGATCTTGCTGTGCTGCTCGAGAGCGAGCCCTGTGACAGCCCCTCTGTGTGCTGCTGGTGGTGTGTGCACACAGAGGGAGGGAAGCCGCCCTCCAACAGGGACGATGCCATATTTACTGCTGCTGCCGATCTGAGGTTGCTGTTGAGTGCCAGCGTCAGGAGGTGCAGCAGGACCTGTCTGAGGGCACCTCTGGCAGACAGTCCCTCCCTGGCAGGAAGAGTGGAAGCTCACGTTTGGGGAAAGAAATGACACAATGTACTATTTGTCATATTTACATTCCAGAGGATAGAAGAGGAAAGCCTGTGTGAGGGGAAGACTCAGATTAGGTTTTGAAGGCTTTGCTGAACGTCACCTGTTAGATCCTCCTGGGGATGCTGGTAATTGATTTGCCAGACTCTCAGCACAGACAGCCTCCTGGCCCTTATAAATAAAGGGTCATGGCTCGGGTAGGAGAGGAGCCCGCACGGGACACCCCGCTGTCCTCGGAAACCATTCTTCCCCGTTAGCCCGTGGAGGTCAGGGGAGGTGGGTTGTTCCCGAATGTGCTGTCAGGTTTCTTCTCAGTGTTTTATTTGCCACTAACTTGTTTCTCCTCTAATTAGCTGCTAATTGAGAAGACTGAGTAAGGAAATACTCAGTATTGCAGAAGCTGGGGAGAGAAGCCCAGGTGTGTCCCTGCATGTTTAGAGGTCACAGCTTGTCACCATTAATTAAAATTTATTCTTGAACAAAACTTTTAACCCCAAGGCAACAGACAGCTTAGGGTTTAAGAGTTATTTTAAGACAATAAGTCCAGCTTTTGAGGTTGATTTAATTGGATTTAACTTGTTACATTTATATATTTCATGAGGGCTGAGTTTTGAATAATATTTGGCAGAAATTTTTCAGGTTGTCTATCTGGGTTTGGAATTTTTACAGAGAAAGAAGACTTTAAATATTTTAAGAACTATTTTAAAACTAAGAAAAATGCCCATCTATACTGTATTTTCTAGAGAAATATCTTCTCATGAATTAGAGTTTAGACTTAGAAGTCAGTGCTTGCTGTCACCAGAATCTCTTTGTGTAATAAAGTGTTGCCCTGTTTGGATCCTGCAGAAAAAAGGGTCACACTGCCACCTCGTGGCCGTATTTCAGACCAGAAAGGAATGAAGAAATATTCACACTGAGGCCTCTGCTGGCTCTTACCTGTTTTCTGTGTGACTGAGAACTCAGTAGAAACACTCTGTGAACAAAATGTAATCATAAAGATACGCTCTCACTGGGCGTTATAGGGGCATTTCAAGTCGTCTTTGTCTTTGGTTGTATTTTTATAAAGTCCTAACTTCTTAAAATGTAGGTTTATTGTTTGTTAATTGCCTGAAAAGAAATCTGAATATATTTCATTTAGAACTGGATATTGAAGACTAGTACTGATGGATGCTTTACTAATTGATAAAGTTTTAGGTTTCCTTAAAAGTGATGACTTTAAGATATGCTGGCTTTCCTCTTGTCCTCACTATGGCTGTGCAGCAGAAGCTGACTGGGTCAGCCTTGGCCTTGCTGTTTCAGGTACCTGTCTGACCTCCACGCGCCAGGCGACCCTGCGTGGCAGTGCATCGGAGCCCAGCACCGATGGATCCTCCAGCTCATGCACAGCTGCCAGGAGGGCTGCGTGCGGGACCTCAAAGGCAAGGCCCTTTCTCCCTGCGTGCGTCCTGCCCCTCGTCACTCGACACACTCTGGGAACGCTCTTGATCGAGGGATGAGTCGTTCCTTTTGTAACTATACCTGCCTCCGCCCCGGTTAGCATCCTCCCTGGGCGAGTAAGAGAGCAGGGGAGGGAGAAAGCCCTCTCAGCATGCCTGTCTCACGGTTGACTGGCAGTGTTGATAAAGGTTCGGCTTATGGAACAGTTACCTCTTGTGGAAGCGACCTGATATTGTAGAAATGATACTAGTCTTGATCAACAGGAACAGTACACTCACTATTCCATCAAGTGCATGTTGAGCCCTGCTGCACACCAGGCACCATGCCAAGTCCAGGTGCACGGACGCAGTCCCAGCGCTCATGGAGCTCAACTAACCAAGTACCAGGTTGTGACTGGTAGATGGCAGGTTTGGGGACGTGTCTCAGACAGGGCTCTGTGTTAGCAGAGAACCTAGAGGACGAGGAATGCCGGCCGGGCCGCCTCCAGCACAGGCCCTGAGGAGAGTGGAGGAAGAGTCACAGCTGGTTCACAGCCGGCACAGTGGCAGGACTTGAGGCCGGGTGAGGAGGCCCCGGGCCTGGATGGACTTCGTCCAGGGGTTTGAAGCCTGGGAAAGACCGATGAGATGGGGACAGTGGAGCCGGTTAGGAGGCTGCCGTCGCCGGCACGGGGGCCGTGGGTGTGGAGGAGGAGGGGATTCAAGAGCTGTCCGGAACCTGCGATCACAGGACTTGGTGGTGGACGGAGGGGTAGGAGGGGCTCGGTGAAGCCCAGGCGTCTGACCTTGGCAGCTGGTTGGGATGGGGCGCCGTGGGGTTGGGGCGAGGAGGAGACGGCCTTCCCTTTTCTTTGGACCCGGTTGCTGTGCGGTTGTCTGACGGACAAGTGGAGGCGTCCGGTAGGTAACTGAATTTAAAGAGTGAGAGGTTTGGGTGTGGTCTGCACGTAGATGGTCCCTGGGAGTTGGCATATTCACTCCAGAAGGAGCAGAAGGAAGGCAGTGCAGGAATGTAGGGCAGAGCCTAGGCAGAGTCTGTACACCGCAGGGAGCCGGGAGGGGAAGGAGGGCCAGCGAGGGTTTTAAGGCGAAGAGTCCGATAAAGGGGTGTCCTTTAGATTTTGTGCTGAGGCTGTTGGTGACCTTGGCAAATGCAGTTTCGGTGGCCTGAGACACCAAATAGATTGTATAAATAAGGCGCAGCGGTTCTTACAAGGTTTCCGGACGAGAAAGTGAGGTAACATGAGAGCAGTCCTGGCACAGAAGGAGGTGCCACAGAGAGGCCATGATTATTTATTTATAGTTTAGTTTTGTCGTGAATTAGGTGGCTTGGAGTTGAGTATTTTCCAACTATGAGTCTGTTCTTTTCTAATGTTGTTGTTTAGGAAAACCCAAATATCTCTTTACTGATGCCATATCTAAATTTCTAGTATGTCATTAATTATTTTATAGTTTTAGCAAGTGAAAATGACATCAAACAACATATACACAGTCTGAGGTCGCTGGCGGGTATTTAGACGTCCTCAGGTTCTCGTGTACTGAGTCTGCTCTGTTGGGCAGGACTCTCGACGTGGCTGCCTGTCACAACCCCCTGGGTTTTTTTAAAGACTGTCACTTCCCAGCGTCCTCCCCATTCCTGACCATTATATTAGACTCTCTAGCAGTGGAGTCCATGCAGCAGTATTTTTGAAACCTCCCAGGAGACTGTGGTGCAGCCGGGGCTGGTAATCAGTGTGGTGGATGTGCTCTCGGGACTGAAGAGCCGTGATGAGCAAGACCCACATGGTCTCTGGCCTCTTGGAGCTTGTAGTCTAGTGAGAGAGACCTATGTCTTTAAACAATTCACATGTTGTTTATTACATAAGTGTACTTGTGAAAGGTATTGCGAAGTGGGGAGTGCAGAACTCTGCCTCGGTCTTGTTAGCGGGAGGCCCAAGGAAGTTTCCTAGCGGAGGTGTTGTTGCCACTGGACCTAAATGAGGGATGTGAGTCTTCCAGGGAAA